CCCTATAGAGATGCAAAGGAGATGCTGATTTGCGCAGCCATGCATGCGCAATAGCTTTCCAATGCTTTCCTGTGGGGAAGCATTGGAATGGCTGAGATCATCAAGATTGCTGATCTCCTTTACGGAGTCAAGGACATCCACAGTGAGTCCTGTGCGGCGGTTGAGAAATGGGAAGTAAACTCCCGTTTTCTCCAATCTGAGGGGATCACCTATACAACCTCAGCTTAAAGTGTCACTTTTGAATTCTCTGCCATTTAGGAGTTAATTCACTTTGTTTATAGTTATACAGCTATAATTACACCTCCATGCATGTGATTTGCACAGCTTTTAGAGCCTCCTATGTGTGATTAAAGTTCAATTTAAAGAGCAAGAGATAAAAACTTATAAAGTCATTTAACATCTTATTGAAAGTGAAATCATCTTTTCTATGCAGTCTGTGTGTGCCACAGCCAGGTGAGGTGTGGCTAGGGCTGCATAGACAGAAACAAAAAAGTGATCTAACACCTAAATGGCAAATATTTGAGCAGTGAGACTTCAGTGAGACAAGATCTATACACAAAAACTGCTACATGAAACTAAAGTTATTTTGGTTACTACAGTATCCCTTTAGCAGTTTTTTTTACATTGGTATTTTAAATGTTTTGGGGTTTTTCTTTTTTGTAAATGTATTTATTATATTTAAATGGAATGAAAAAATAAAGGGATCAATAGAGTAAAATTAGATAAAAGTCTCCATTTGGACAATCATAAAGTAGCTCAATTTGGAACAATCCCACTAAATATGATGATATGTACCCAGGGCCCCCTGACACTTTCAGCACTTGCCATTCTGAGAGGGAAGAAATGTCTGTAACACCCGTGGGGTTTTGTACCACATTGAAAGGAGTTTAACCCCTTAAGGACACATGACATGTCATGATTCCCTTTTATTCCAGAAGTTTGGTCCTTAAGGGGTTAAATGCCTTTTTATTACTATATTATTTTCTTTTGGCTAGCAGCTTCTCTGCTGCTAGTCACATGATATCCGGCTGCATAAAGAAAGCTAGCTGAGACCCAGCTGATTCTTGATAACAATTATTACTTCAGTGCTGTGAAATGCAATGCAGAGAGCTCATGTCAATATGAGCATGATCTCCCCAAACATTCTTCCCTGTAAATCAGCTCATGTCTAAAGCCAGCTTTGTCTTATCTCCTCTACCCATTTCCTTTATCACATTCCTTGTTCACACAGAGTAAAATGTAACTGTTTCTGCACTGATGACTGGTAGCTGATCTGTTTCCATTCATACTGTCTTTTTATTTTGAAATTGACACTATGAATAGCCCCCATATATAGTGCAAGAAACAGTTAGTATGTGCATTGTGTGCTCAAGCATTTCACAGGGGTGGAACGAAATAGGGGAGATATAACTTGGAAGGCAGTGTCCAGGAGATTAATTTATACACAAGAGAATTGAGAGCCAGTCTGTGAAAATAACTTTAATATGCGGATTCTTAATGTTACTAATTGTACCGATAGCAAACTGAAACAACAGTCATGAATTGTGAATGGGAGACAACTCAACATGATATTCACGATGCCAATCTGTTTCCCATTCATAAAACTGTTAATTCAGTTTGCTAATCGTATTATAAGTACCAATAGTAATCTGGAAACGGTACTCGTATTGATAAAGCAAAAGCAAATTAGATCCTGGATTAAAAAGAAAAGAAATTCACACATACAGACAGTTGCAATATTTACAACGTGTGTCCCTTCTTCCAGTCGGCATACTCCCTGTCTCCCTGCAGCGTAGTCACTACTTATGGTGGCTGAGTTTGATATATACTGAAAGGCAGAGGCCAGTCTTGGAGCAAAGTGAATTAAAAAAGGGGGGTGGGGAATGTGAGGAGGCAGGCTGAAGAAACCTGCAAAACAGGTTATTCCTTAAAACTACATAGAATTGAGCAATGACAATAATACAGCATGTATATGAAGCCAAGCTGTATTGGTGCCCATAGGGTCCCTTTAAGTATGTTTGCTTTACATAAATTCATTGTAATATCTGTGTTTCATATAAGTTCAAAAGGTAGTTTGACAATGGACAATTATTACCTA